TAGTGTGGCACCATGTACCATTGGCGTGATAAAGGTTCTATCTTCACATATATAGTCTGGAGTATGACAGGGTAAAGAATTGATTTAAATGCATGCGCTAACATAGTTATATCATAGCCATATTTATCTGACATATGATTGTGTCCTGTTTACAGACACTGAGGATATTCAGTTCATGCCATCTCTGGTTAGAATACTAATGTCCTGTCAGTACACAAGAAAAATACTGTATGTTCTGGCAACTCAGTATAAATGTTCTTGTCATGAACTGTCTACAACTAATGCGAAGTTCTGTTATTGTATTAACTAAAACTCCCTCTGTTCAGTGTAACGAGCAGTATTTTTAACTTCATGAGTTATTAATCTTAACATTGTCAGTGAGCTTTCATTTGACAGCCATGTCAATTACATCATCTTTGTGCTGTGAGTAAAAATAATGTGCTAGACCAACACGGATAATGTGGGAACATTTTGCTCATTAGCATATGGTGATTACTTAATACAGAATCAGTTTCAGAAACGTTACTAATTCCACTCAATTCTTCTTCTTCATTGCGTTCACCAGATGTAAACTCTGGTGGAAAGTTCTGGTTGTTTATCCACTTCTGGACTGCAGTCCTGTTCCAGTACCTGAGTGTTGCATGTGTATCTGTTTGACAGATCTGACACATGTGTGCAGACCCTTGGTTCCTTGCCTCTCAGGCAGATGCATTCCGACTTCAAAGGAAGCTTCCAGTTAGTCGACTCTTATGACATGCTTTCAGGTAGGAGGCGGGTCTATTCTTGTTTTCCCTATAACAGGGATTCGATTCAATTAAAAAAAGCTATAATTCACAAGTTTGAAGCTACACTAAGCTAGACTTACTCTGTCAGATTTCTCATACGTAATTATCTCTGCATACTTATTCTTCTACGTTCACCCAAAAACAATGCACTGTGTCCGTTTACAAACTGGCTGCAATATTTGCACCTTTTAGCTAACACATGCGACTTTTGCAGCCATTTGTTGCCAGGTTAGCCTTTCAGGATCTTTGCACACTGTCTTTGTGTTTTTAATTGTGGGGTATTTAAACTGTAAACCTCATTTTCTTATTGCCTTAAGACAAGAATAAGGATCTTCTCAAAACAAAATTGCTGTAAATATTTGCATTATGGCTGCATATACCAGCCTCACCCATCGATTGCTGATTGGTTTATACAAATATAGGACTAACACACAATTGCTTGATGTGCCAGTGGCATGGAACAGGTCCTTCACTTTATAGGCCACTTTACAATGATATTACAGAAGCACAGCAGGAGTACAGTATGGAATTACCTTAACTCTTTGAGTCCCAGGGGGTTTAGCATCGCAGGCCCAATGGGTAGTAAAGAGAGACTAAAACTGACACATCATGCGTTCATTGGGCTTCTAGGTAAGAACCTATGAACTCAAAGAGTTAATAATGGCCTATACATTTACACACTGCAATTTGTTACAGTACTAGCTTATAAGTAAGACATTCTTAATCTGTGTACGTGAGTGTTACCTACAATTATTTTGTTTTTGTTACTAAAAACATTCAGATGTGTTCAGTTTTACTTAACTTGTTTGTTCATAGATCTCAGCAATGGCAGTTATTCATTAGGTGTATGCGCACAACAACCAATTTTGAATTCATTTAATGCATTCTTCCCAGGCTACTGTAAAAATATATATACAATGTAATCTTTATATTGCTTCTCTAAATGAAATACAAAACTTGGTACCACCACAGATCAGTTTGAATTTTCAACTAATACTTCAAAAATGTTAATGTTTTTAAAAAACCCAATACAAAGTTATTGTTTAATCCCAAAGTGAAAACAGCACAAATCCTGGTCACGGCAATTGTTTTCTGCATGTTGCAAATTACTGATTCTCTTAGCTTTTACTAAATATCTTAATGGTAAACCTTGAACTGTGAACACTGAAGGAAATGATTTTGTTAACAAGTCACAAATTAATGGGGCCGCATTAGCGCAGTCGATAGAAGATTCGCTTTCAAATCCAGCTGCGACTCGCTGCAGCCCACAACCAAAGATCGAAACCGAACAGTTCCCGGGGTTCACCCAACCTCTAGGAAATGGGCACCAGAGCTAATGCTCTGGGGTAAATGGAGCAATGTCACTGTAACTATGGAGTTGCGTGCAGACGGGGACAGTTTCTTATCAGCTGTCCGTACTGGTGGTAGAGAATTTATGGTTTATAACCGTGTGCAATGATGCTGGTTCACATCTCCTGACTTTACTTTTTTTTTGGTCACAAATAAAATGACTATTGATCACTCAACTGTATATGTTTGCATCATTGATCTGTGATGTTATAGAACTCATTATAAGATATACATATGTTGTAAACTACATCTTTCTTTATGTTACATTCTGTAAGATCAAATAAATGCGCAAGTTTGAACAAGACAACCTTGAATCATTTGTTTATTGTCATGAGCTGTACTAGGATTAGATTGGTCAGTTGCTTTAATTAAGTGGGTGCTTAGTGGCATCTAGATGGCTGGCTGGCTGAAGATCTTGAGTTCAAATCTAAACCACAGCGGATTTTTTTAAATGACTGGGGCTCCATAGTCAGACTAGTTTAAAAATGAGAGATATTCTGGGAAGTTATGGAGGCCAGGCTGACGTTGACCACATCCAAGTGCCATTGACCAGTCTTTAAAACTATTGGTCGAGCACCATATGCTCAGTACGCCATCAGTGTGAAAATGTCCTTTACTTTAGTTGCCCAACTTGGAGAGCAACTAGCTAGCATGCTTGTCTGCCTGCCAGCCAAGTAGTCTTTCAAAAAATTATCAGATATGTGTGTGTCCTGGACTTCCCAGCCCTAAAATGGGTATCAGGAAACTTTCTGAGAAAAAAAAGGTGGCTGACATGAATGTTCAGCCTATAGTAATTACAAGGCTTGGGCTATTATCTCCAGTGTGCCTGGAAGTGTGAAAACTGTCACTCAACTGCTTTCATACCTGAAACGAACGTTAACGAAAGTAGCCAAAACTAGCCAAATGGCCCACACAAAAAAACCTAACTGCCGAAAATCGCAGGACTTCCGACGATCTCATTGTGGCGGCGGTCAAAATTCACGGCTTCAAGGTCAGAATGTCTTTTTAAAGGTAAAAATCACGGTTCAAGGTCGCCGAAAAAAAACCCCCAGGTAAATTCAAGATTTCCTGGTCCACTACAAACCCTGCTGTCACCCGGGGTGTGCAAGGAAATTCCATTTGCATCCGTACAGGAACAGCTGTCTCAAAATGTAATGGTTTGTTGATCACATTTGAAGACTTCTTCCTTTCAGTTCTCTCACATATATGAGTCTGCTAGCTGTGAGAAAAAAATCTGTCTTTTTCACTGTGTATGTTCAAGGGCCCCACTGGGACAGGAAGGACCAGAGCCACTGCACCCTATCAATATCATAAAAGGTGACCAATCTGGGGTTTGCTGAAATCAGATGTGTTCAGTAGACATTGCCAACTAGCAGTAAACCACAACACAACGTGCTGACACACCCTTTCCTGGGCAAATGAAGAGCTAACAGCAAGTCAACCTTAAAATAATTAATAAGGTTATTCTTGGTGCTATTGAGTTTTTCTCTCACTGCGTCCCTTGACTAGTTTTTGTGTGGTAGTTGACACAGCGATTCTTGTCAGATGTGTTTAGTACTGCAGGTCTTCTAATTCCTCCATTTAAAAAGAAACAATTTCTCTCTGGCAGCTTTTCCCAGGCACTGTCAGTTTTCTTGTAATTATTTACATGGCTGGCCTCTTTTGACCTACATTTGCTCAGTAATATTGCTTGTGGTTTACTGTTTGTGGGGAGCTGCTGTAGTGCAGCAACAAGACACTAACCTGCAGATCTGAAGATCATGGGTTCAAGCCCACACAAAGACTTTTGAATACATGACCTTGGCTCCCAGGTCAACCCAGCCTGGATACGAGGTGTAAAGTCCTGGGAAGTAAAGGTTGTTGGCATGATACTGACCACATCACCCATTGAGTGCCAACTGGTCTAAAAAAAATATGTCTACCACAATATGTCCGATAAGCTTGAAGGCATGGAAAAAGGTCACATACTGTCTGATGGAAGCTCTTTTACCCGGCCAACCATTTCACTTTGACACTGCTGTATTTTCAGAAAAACGCCATGTATTTTGTGACCACGCCAAAATTATTACGTTCAATATCTAGGTTACCTTTGCTTCGTTACAAGACAAGATATAGAAATGCCTGTTACTAAAAATATCAGAGGGCCACACAAAAATTTCTAGGAGAAACTACGCATCAAGACGCATCTGTGCAACAGAACTGTCTTAAAAGTCTCTAATTCTCAACCCTCTTATTTTTGTAATACAATCCACGAGGTTTACGATGACCAGTTAAAACTGTAACCATATTGCTGAAAACCACACAAAATTCTGTTTGTTTACCATTTTAAAGTTATGGTGGATATCAATCAAGGATTGAAAGGTAAAGAAGTATTTTTGTTTTCTTTCATAAAAATCCTAAGCTTTTTTTTTTCAAGGCCTTGAAAGGAATCTTGCAGTTCGTTTTTTTTTTCAGGTTTCAAGGTCTGCTACGAATCCTAAATACAGCCTTTTCCATTAAAAAAAAAAATGGCAACAAGCACACCATATAAGTGAGACAACAAATGAACACAAAACTACAGGCTTAAACCCCACAATTTTATTGCCTCAAATAATGTAGACATGAGTTGCTTGGTGAAAGAACAAGAATGTTTCTTCTTCCATGAACAGAAATCAGTTTAATTAGGCAACAGACAGTCAACTGTAAAACCTATCAAACAGCAGGTGACATGAAAATCCACACAATTCCTGTAGAATTCACACATTTCTGTATAAACTCACCATCGGTCTTGTGTACTGGTGACAGGCAATAAATACAAGACAGGCAACTCTAATACTCTCACAGACTACAGATACAGGACTCAGCGTGTGTATATGTATATTTTTTTTACTTGAAGATCTTTCCATCTACGACTTCTTTTCCACCGAAATCGCCCTCCTGAAGGAAGAATTTCTTGACCAAATCCTTGGTCTCTTCACTGTTGGGGTCCAGCTTTTTCCAGGAGTACGACTCGTAGTCTATCATCCAGTCAGGGGACAGCTGCAGGAGATACACATAATATTAGTTAAGTATATATGAAATAAGTGATACAGAACCCAGTAAACAAAACAAAATATATGCCTGTTATTTGTCCACCTCTAGACAGGTTGTTTTGTTACACTAACTGAATTCTGCATATGCATCCATTTTACCTATCTGGCTTACTTATTGGTGCCTTGTGCCCTAGGCAGTTTCACTCCGACTTTAAAGGAAGCCCCTAATTAGCTGAATCTTACAATATGCTTGTCATTGTCAGCGAGGCAATTTGACTATTCTTTTAACCCCCCATTGGGGCCCCAGACCCCACACAGGGATAACATATGCAAAACAGTAAAATGGGTTAAAACTTTGGACATTCTTTTGACAAATCGAATTTCTACATCTCAAACCCTAAACTTTTAAATATCAGACAATTTAAATGCAAAAATTAGATTTTTCACTCTCTAAATAATGTGCCTTCTTGAGAAGTTCTAGTTCAGAACTATTTCAGTGTCTGCTACATAAAACAAAGTGTAATACTCACTTTAAAGGCAAGATCTTGTGTTCTCCAGAACCACAAGCCAGCGATGGAGTTGTTTTTGGCCTCTCCTAAAATAACCATGCTGCCAAAGGCATTTTTGCGCAGCTTATCCAGTCGCTGGAACATTCCTTTGATGGAAGACAAAAAAAAGTATGAAAACAATACATTCTGCATTCTTGATTTTCTTTGTCAGTTGTAAACATTGTTTGTTTGTTTTAGTATCCAGAAACCATGAGCTGTTATCCCTTAGGCTCGGTATTATGGATATCGCAACCTTTCGGCCTTGATTACATTGTAAATACCGTAAATCTAGGAGAAAATGTGGCTTTTCTGCCCACCCCCGGGAGTGAACCCGGACCACAAGGAGTTCGTCACCCACTCAATACTATATATATAGTAAAGCACAACATGTCTTCACACAAAGTCCTAGCTCAGAACTATTCAATTAAGTTCATTCAGCTGCCAAAATGTTGAAAATGTGGATTCTCTCTCTCTCTCTCAGGTTCTCTTGGACGTTGTCCTTTCCTCAATCCATCCGTTTCCCACTTCAGTGCCTGTCTAGTGATTATCCGTCCGCTGATTCTCAAGATGTACCCAATACATCAACATTTTGTGTCATAACTGATGATACAAGCGACTGTCCAGATCAGTGGCTCTCAACCTTGCTAACGCTGCGACCTTTTAATATAGTTCCTCATGTTGTGGTCACCCCCAACCATTCCATACAATTATTTATCCAGGGGCTGAGTGGTCTCGAGGCATGGTGTCCGCCTTAAGCACTAGAGATCATGGGTTCAAACCCCTGGGGAGGCTGGGATTTTTTTCATGTGGACTTCCAGCAATTTGCCCTGGTCTCTGGGCAGCAAGATCGGATGCCCGTGTATATTGTTGCGCACATAAAACATCCCTTGGCAGTTGAAAATCAAACAGCATAGCGTGAGGCCACTGCCCGGGCAAAATGTGGAGTTATAAATCTACCCAAAGTATTTCAGTATCCTCGCTAGTGCTACAGTGTTAATATTACCAACTACCATATTTTTTTTATAGAAGCTCATAGAGTTCTGTGACAGTGATACTTAAACAACACAGGCAGATATTTTCCCATACCTTCAACCAGGTTTGACACCATGAAGCTCAGTTTTCCCTGCAGGTTTTCTGTGTATTCACAATACCAGATGGAGTACACCTCCGGGTCAAAGTTCTTCCAGAAGTAGGGGATTGCTTCGGTCAAGATGTCTTGGTTGGAGTAGACACGTTTGAACTCATCAAGGTTCATTGTTCTGCAATTAAGGTATACTTTGTTATGCACACCCCAAAAAAAATTCTCAAAAAGAATTTTCAAGAAATTAAGGTAAGATATTTAACAGCGCAGCAGGAAAGGAAGAGTTAAGAGACTTATACTTTAAGTACTATAAATACACTTGTACATATATATATTCTAGACACTGGCAGCGAAGGGGTTGTGAATTTCAGCAACTTAATGCAATGCAGATACTAAGAATGCTCGAAATACTGTTACGAAGAAACATCTATAAATTATAACACTGGCGCCTAAACAAAAGAAGGCAAAAAAACTGGAAGCCACATTGCAAAACCTTTCCTCCTTGTCTCTCTCTCTCTCTCCAGGCCTTAATGTTATGGAGACTAGTGAAATGTAAGTTTAACCCAGTTTGTGTTCACAGTGACTTGGGATCACAACTTAGCACAGTAGTTTACCCAGTCAAATAATGGTCATTACCATGCTTTCTCTTTGAAAGACTTGTCTGATAACCAAATGAACAAGCCCACAAAGTGTGTGAGCCTGAAACAGGAGAGCCATCAGTTTCACTGTACCTCCAGGTCTTACACATGAGCCACAAGTGTCAAGCCTCATGTGCCTTTGAAAGGAGGATATATTTATATTTTTTTAAACTGGCAGTATCTGACATCTTTTCTTTCGACAAGATCTAATCAGATAAATCAAAATTTAAAAACCGGAAAGGCTAACCCAGTTAACAAATGCCCGCAGAAGCCGGATGTGTTGGCCAAAAGGTGCAAATATTGCAGCAATGCTGTAAATGGACACAACGCAATTACATCTTCATATGAACACAGAAGAAAAAAAATACAGCAAGCAAAGAAAGACAGCATCTGAGCCAGCAATGTCCACACTACCGACCCTTTTGCCCCGAAAAGCACAAAAACCAGCTGCTTAACCTGCACAACCATAGTAAATATTACAAGAATCCTCCCTAAGAGTACTGATTTCGCTTGCAAATGTTTAATAGGTCAACCAATGGCTACAGTTGCTAAAAAAAACAGTATTCGTGGGTGTGTTCCTGTGATTAACTGGCTTTGCGTAAATTAAGGCAATGATTTTCTGTTAGTTACAATGGTCTCCGGTGGCCAGGCCACCAGGTTAAACATGAATCAGGATAATTTTACCTCAGGAAGACATAACCTAGTTGATTATCTGTTCATTTGTTTTTACCGATTACTTAATTTTAATCAGTGCATAATTTGTGTCTTAAAATGGAATTGTTTAAAAAAAAATTTTAATCTCTAAAATTATTCTTTGTCAAAGGAATATTTTTTTTCTTCAGAAAAATCCTAAATTTTAAAACAGCAGGCCCGTGGCATTTGTTTTCCCAGCTCAACGAGGCAAAAGGTTAAGACGTTTAAAAATAAACTAAATGGTATCAGAAGTTACTTTACTGATATCTCAGTTAATTACACTTTCAAGTAACTGAAAATGATGCAACTATGAGACAGAAACAAATAAATGTCAGCCAATATTTCACCAATCTTCATACTTCTCTTTTTGTTACAGAGACTAGTGTGGGTGGTTTTTTTAAAATTTATTACCCTAACTCTAAACCAGCCTTTTTCATCTTACCATCTACAGGCTGTAAATACCAGCAGGTTCTGGTTGTTCATCCATTCTGGGCTTTGGTCTTATTTAGAAGTGTAGTTTACCCAGACACAGCCATAAACACTGTCTCTTTGTAAGACTTGTCTGATAACCAAATGAACAAGCTCACAAAATGTGTGAGCCTGAAACAGGAGAGCCATCAGTTTCACTGTACCTCCAGGTCTTACACATGAGCCACAAGTGTCAAGCCTCATGTGCCTTTGAAAGGAGGATATGTATTTTTGACAGTATCTCATCTTTTCTGTCCATAAAATGTGAAAGAAAAGAGTGACGACAAATCCTGCTGCAATATATAGAAACAAGCTAAGAACCTCACTGACTTTCAGTCACAGCCAGTCGACTCCTTTTCCTTGTCAGTTTTTATTTAAAACTAATGCAATCACTGGCTCTCAACGAGTCCAGTAAATACAATATAAAGAAAAGCACACTGCGTAAGGAGTAATCAAAGGACATGCAGTCAGTTGAATGGTATTAAACAAGGTTGCTGGGATTGTGCCTAGTCGAAGAGGTGAAAGAACAGCAACCAGAGAGAGAAACTTGTAATCTTACTGACAGACTCGAGACAGGCATTAAACAAAGCATACCTCATAAATACTTGGATGAGCAGATCCCCATACTTGATGAAACTGCAAAGTAACTGGTTTAATGAAGAAACTAGCAGTAAGATTACTTTACTGATCGACTGGGTGTACGCATTGAGGCAGCCATTTCAAAAATAGTTAGCACCGACCTAACTGCCAAACCTGCTCCAGGAAAAACTGTTTTCAAATATTTTACTTTTTAGCTAGTGGCCCAAAAAAAATGTTGTGTAAATAAAAATGTGTAAATACTTCATTTTGACCTATCTGGAGAAGGACGTCACAGAAAATTGTCTCTGGCATATTATAAAGTGACAAAAAACAGCCCTAAATATCCACTTAGGAGAAAATTGTCTAAATTGCACTAAGTTGATTCTAGCATGGTGCCAGTGATATAAACATAACAATCCTTACTGAGTTAAAGCAATCAATAAGCCAACGGCAAGCTAGGCTGCCTAGGTTCACAGCTAACTTTCAGATAATGCAGAAATAAAATATAACTAATGCGCTAGTCTCCTGTCTTACCCTTTTGGTAGGGCAGCAAATGGATCCTTGGACTCCTTTGGCTTTTCATCCTCCTCTTCCTCAGCTGCAGGTTCAGCTTCCTGCAATACAATCAGTGTTGTTTTCACTTACATACTAGAACAGTAAATTGTCAAAACCCTTGCATATTATCATGATCAAAGTACACACTAGAAAATGCTCTTTTCAAAGGCATTTTCGTTTTTATGATCAATGGGTGGCAGGATTAAACAAAACTATTTAAACAAACAAAAAACAAAACACACAAATTCAACTTACTGCCTTCCCTGTGTTTGTTCTGAGCCCCCTTGAAGAGAGGGCAAGTGGGAACTTCCTAACAATGTTGTAAAAGTCGACTAATTAAGGGTGTTTTCTTCAAAGTCATCATAGTGCATCTGTCTGACAGGCAAGGAACCAAAAGTCTGTATATAAATAAGCCAGATCCGTAAAATTAATGTTCTGGATAAAGATGTCTAGAAGTGGATGAACAACCAGAATTTGTCTCCAGTTTACAGCCAGTGAATGCAAAAAAAAGAATTAACTGCTAGAATGTAAACTTAGGGGAGTGTAAATAGAACATAAATGCACACTTCAGCTGGATGTCAAGTACCGCAACAGATTGTTCAATGAATTCCTGTCTCCGAGAGTTGCTGGCCTGCAGTTACCACTATTTTCACTTTCAAAACAAAATCACCAAAAAAGGTATCTAAACCCATTCAGACCCTCTCAGCTATTACTTCAATGCTTTCTCAGTCTGATGTACTTCCAAGTAATTTAAAATTAAAGATAGCACTAATTAACAGAAACAAAGATAGGAACAAAAGACATAGTTAAAACACCATGTATAGAGTAATCCTGAAAAAAATACATTCTGAGATCATGCACCTTTCCTGTGGAAACTTAAGGATGTAGCGTCACAAACCCTGGGGGGGGGGGGGGGGGGGGGCAGAGCAAGCCATGCTATGGGGAACCAGAAGGGACCTGCTGCTGACATACGAGTTCATAAGGGGCAACCCACCTGATGGTCTGATCCGAGCATACGAACCGAAAGCAAAGAAGAAATGCTATAGAAAAATTCTTACAATTCCAGGGACCAAGAAGAAACACCAACATCCTTAATAACTGTGATGGACGGTGAAGTTTTTCAAAAAAACGAGGCACAGTTCAGTGAAGGTTGATACAAGACACTAAAGATGCACTGGCTATGAAAGCACAAGAGGTGTCCCAACGAGAGCAACATTCTCTAAAGTACCTGCTGATTGATGATGATGATAACAGTAATCAAGACCCTCATATGTTTCATATCTAAAGTTGGTATGATTTTTTTTTTTAAATTCATATTTACCTTGAAAGACAGTAGCCTTACGGCGCTGCCCATGAAACATTTTGAGTTTAAAATCTACCTAAAGTATTTCAGGATCCTCGCTGGTGCAACAGAGTTTGTGTAGGGGCTGAGATTCTTCAAGATTCAGGCTTGCGTTAGAAGTAAAACTGTGCTCTTGTGGGTTACACCCTTGTGCCATGATGTTGATCCGTTGAACACACACATTTAAAGAGATTTAAAAAACACCAGCTTCCTACCTTGGGAGCTGGTGCTGCCTTTTCTTTCTTTGGCTGTGGTGGCTGAGCTGGTTTCTTCTCTTTCTTCTTGCTGTCCCCAGCACCTGCACTAGCTCCTGCATGGATCTCCTGGTACTTCTTTGCTGCAAATAAAAGGTACCATTGAAGACCTACTACCTGGTTCATTATAACTTTCAGTAACAAGAAACTCATATGTTCAATGAATACTCTACATCAGTTTTGTCCAACACATCAATCAGGTCTATTAGTCATTTGGCAACCTAGAAGAGGTAGCCCAGTTGTTACACTTGTCTTTTCATTTCAGAAATCACTGGCAGGATAATTTATAGACTACAACAGACTGTCAGTGATTTCTGAAATAAGTAGTCCATAAACCTAAAGATCACTGTGTGGGTTCCAGGGCCCCACTAAATGGAGAAAAGAAATAATATGGCGGGGACAACAGACCCACTGACTGCAGCCCTAACAAGCATTTCGTAAGAGGCAACCTATTAGGGGTTTCCTTTAAAGTCTGAGTGCATCTGCCTGAAAGGTAAGGAACAGTCTGCATAACAATAAGCCACATTTGTAAAATGGATGTGCACACACAAGTTTTGGAACTAAACTCCAGAAGTAGAAGAACAACAAGAAATATCCGTCAGCATTTACAGCTGGTGAGCATGAAGATTTGATTTGATTCAAGAACCGACATCACACATAAAAAAAACCTAAAGGGATTAACCACCACTGGCTCTGTATTTCCACACATCTTATTTTATGTCTAATTCTAAGGCTACATTGATCCATACTATCTCAGCTGCTACATTATTTCCCTCTAGTAACTCTCGAGCCAAAAAAACTTAAGGAAAGTTAACCTACAGTACAAACTCAAGATGCAGTGTGGACCTCATGGGAGAATTCACTGGCAACCCAAAAAATTGATCTCATTAGAAATTCCTCTTATCCAGATAAGAGTTCAAGCAATATAAATGGCTGGGGATAAACAAACTGTTCATTGCAACAGAAATTCACCACACCCAAGATACCCTAAAGTGGTCTGCACTGTACACAGTGCTGAAACAAGAAGTGCCTGATACCACACAAACAGATCATGTTTCCACTAAGAGTTCAATACTTCCAAATGAAAAACAATGCCTACAAGAGAACCCTACCCAGGAAAACATGATGTGGAATGTGATGAGTAAACTAGCACGATAGGGATAACTTCTTCCTTAAAAGGGTGGTTGGCAGGTTGTGTTTTGGCTTATATTTGAGTTGCAATATTGGCATCATTTGGTCCTATGCATATGTTTTCAGCAAATACCTAAATTGGTCACCTTTTATAAGATGCTAGTGGGGAGGAAGGGGGGACCAGTGGATCTACTCTCTCTTTCTTCCCACAATGGGGCTCCAGAACCCACATGGAGATATATTCTTATCTATGTCTGGTGGCACAACGAACATGTCCACAACCTGTGTGAACTGTAACAGGTTTGGCCATCAGTTTTAATGAACCTCCAGGTCTTACACACCAGCCACAAGAATCAGGACTGGTGTGCCTTTGAGAGGAGGATTATCTCAACATGTCCATATCTACAGTGATTCAGAATTCTGACAACAACATTATTCATCCATGGTTCGTATTTGCCAACAATTAAATATCTACAGCATTTTTTTTTTAAAGTTATTCTTTAATACTTTTAGTACCCAACAATTAAGGCGGGTATAGGCCTAATTCTAAATTCTGATTTTTTTATTATTAAAAAAACATGCGGTCGTCCTGTGCGTGGCAATTTACGGCATATTTGCTTGGTACTTCCCTCCCCCACCCCCACTGTGTGTGTGGTGGGGGACAAAGCTGCTACCCCCCCCCCCCTCCTCAACGTGTGGGCTGGGAAAAGGGGTGTTTGCTTTAAAGTCGGAGTGCATCTGCCGGAAAGACAGTCTGCATCAAATAAGCCAGACCTGTAAAACGAATGTGCACATAAAAGTTTGGAGACATTATCGCCAAGTCCAGAAGTGGATGGACAACCACAGCTTTCTGCCAGAGTTAACAACCAGTCAGTGAGAAAACAAACAACACACACACACACAAACAAAAACAGAAAAATGTGCACGGGGTGATGTTAGCTAATGAGCTGTTTACCATCAAAAGTTGCCATCTGTGTTGCCAGTATCACTTCTCCTAGGACAGCCTTGAACTGGGGCTGGTTGACAACTGTTACGAACCACCTGTTTACATTAGGGAAGGGTTTGCGGAACTCCGGATCTAGCACCTAGAAAGAGGAGTACAAAGACATGAAAATAGGTATATGTGCTTCAAGAGTGACACTATAAACTGCCTCAGCAGAAACATCAGGGAATATTTATATTTGTCTGCTGCCAAACAAAGATCAGAGTTCTAATTCTTCTTCTTTGTTCACCGGCTGTAAGCTCCAGCGGAAAGTCCTGGTTTTTGTCCATTTGGATTTTAACTTTGTGCCAGGGCCAGAGTTTTGCATGCACATCTGTTTTACTGCCTGCCAATCTTCTTTTTCTTTCATTTGACTCCTCCTCTCTGCATTCATCACACACAAACTCTAGTGGAAAGTCCTGGTTGTTTGTCACCTCCTGGACTTTTTTATGTTTTATTCGAGAACTGCAGTGTTGCATGCATATCAGTTTCACAGATCGCCCTTGTGCAAACTTGGTTTCATGCCTCTCAGACGGATGCACTGACTTCAAAGGAAATTATACTTGCTACATTGACCAGTAAAGGCCCCTGGTGAACCACTATGTGTAGTGATGCACCTCTGCTCTCACCTTATTCACTTGTGCTCACGTTTTGCATCCATATATTTGGCCTTGTAGGTTTCAGTGTAAGGAAATCATATTTTTATTTTTTTTGCTGACCGCAGTGTAGATCAAGAAAAAGCATCATTTCTTCTCACTCCCATTTTTTGCAACAATGTGAATTTCTCCTAAGCTGTCGTGTCTCAGCAGCTAGACGCATGCCTGAGGGAAAAAAATAGCCTGGCTTTTAGGTCAACCCGGCCCTAAGTGGGTATCAGGTTAAATCCTAAGAAGTAAAGGTTGCCGGCATGATAGTGACCAAATCCCCCATTGAGTGCCGATTTCAAAATATAGTCTAGCCCTGAATGCCTGAAAGCCCGGAAAAGGGTTCCCCTTTTGTGTACTGTGATGCGCACTGGGTATGTTTAAAATTCAACTTTTTATGCAAAGCAGTCATAAACTCACACTAAAGTGAGAACAGTGGCACACATATCACATGAGTAGTTCTGTGATCTGTTGTCGCGTATAATGACCACAGACCTGGATGTCAGCTCAATGTCTCTTAAGTTTTCCCAAAGCTTAGTTGTCAGGTCGACTGGGCGTGACAACATGATTGGCAGCTTCTCCAAGTAATGCTAAGTCTTGCAAGACATATTCTGGGGTCTGTTCAGCACAAAGACACTGACAGATAGCTATTTGGCACACACTAATTTATATGAACATTCGTTTGAGTCTTGTGTAATGTCCAGTGCAAACACACACAAAAACTGACTGGGTCCATTTTTTCAAATGTTTGAGGTCATTTTATTCCATGAAAAATTAGTTTAAACTTAAACATACAATATAACGAATGTGGTGTACTCTGAAGTACTAACTTCACTACTTACCAGTTCATACAAACTTTGCAGGTTGCAAGCAAGACTGATATCAGCAAGTGTGACCCTCTCCCCAACAGCAAAGGTTCGTGTCAGAAAGTGGTTGTTCAGTATAGTCAAGACTCTCTTGATCTGCTCCTTGGCTTTTTCAGTCTCCTGCAGAATCAAATATACAGGCCATTAATCAGACAGTGAGACCACAACAAGGGTTTCAAAATTCCCAACCACTTTTTGTAATGCTTCTGTTTCATCATCAGTGGGTTTTCTGGGTTTCTATTTAACAGCAATCATCTACTAAATTGGGTTTTTGTTTTGTTCGGAGGTCTGAAATGACATTCTGATCACATATTGCCATGTTCCTCGGCAAGTTTTCTCATCTGGAGTTAAAAACTCAAAGTGTAGGAATGCTGCCTTGTTCATATTGTAGGCAACTATTAAATAATGATACACATAGGCTCATGTGTAATTTAAGGGCTATTTTAGGAATAATCAAAAAGTATGTCTTATAATAACAAATAGGGTAAATGAATTTGTCTGACAGCCAAATAAACAAGCCCACAACTTGCATGGACAGTAAGAGGCTCGGCCATCGTTTTAATGAACCTCCATGGTCTTACACGACAGCCACAAGCATCAAGGCTGATGTGCCTTCGAAGGAGGATAACTAGCAAGAACCTGTGTCTGCTTTTCATTTGAATACCAAATCACTATGAGGAAGTCTGCTATAACATGGAATAACTGAAAGAAGTTTGAAGTATACTTTGTGGTGTGTGAAAGTTGTTTGGGTAGAGGATTGTATATTACCGTGTGTGTGAGTACGCATGTGCAAAACTTAAACATTAGATGCTTTGACTATGTCGTTACTGAAGACAACTGCCAAAACAGTCACAGTATTTTAACCAAAATATAGGGTAGTTGTTTTTTTTCAAACCTGCCTAATGAAACCAGTATGCCTCATGCAATTAATACCAGATATCCTGCAAAAAGCCTGTAATGACATTAAATGATCATGTAACATCATATGTGCCATCTTCAGTCACCAAAGGAAACAAAATATTCCTCATATGCAATATGGCAAGCCGTAATTGTTTTTACTTTTCCTAAAGTTATAACTGTCAGTATTGCTGGGTCCTCTTAAACTTACTATTCTAGATTTTACATTACTTTGTAAATCTTACATTTATGGTTCTCTTAATGTCTTAAACCAAAAGGTTTCCATGGTTGGTAAAGACCTCACCCTTGCTATTTTGCTTGGATTTTTCCCCGTGTGGGTTCTGGGGCCCTATTGCGGTGAGTTATGAGTTATCTTCTTCGCGTTCACCAGTTCACTTTGGCGGAAGGTTCTGGTTGCTCGCCCACTACTGAACTGCAGTCCTGCTCCAGAACCTGAGTGTTGCGTGTGCATCAGTTTTACAGATCTCATTCTCTTTAATACAGACTGTTGGTTCCTTGCCTCTCCGGCAGATGCACTCCGATTTCAAAGGAAGCTCCCCAATTAGTCGACTCTTACAACATGCTTTTGGGGAGGCAGTGTGTCTATTCTTGTTTTCCCCACAATGGGGCCCCGGAACCCACACGGGGGTGCCAGTCCTATGCTGGTTGACGACTGTGTGCATCCGGTGTGCTTTTCATGCTTGGCTGTGCCGATCTTTACTCTTAATTCTCGTATCCATAGCAGTGATGTGGACACGTTGCTTCAAAAACTCTCGGAACGTCCTATCTCTCTAAGGGCACTGACAATGTCTGCGAGATCCATGTGCCAGCCATCTTCAATTAATGCGGCACGTGCCAGTCAATCAGTCTATTGGTAAAGTTAAAAAGCTTTTTCATGTCTTGGGGCAAAAATAAAATCCCAAACTGCAGGCCGTGGCCGACAGAACTAGCTGTTCGACCCTACATCCTCAGGATCAAAGATACACAAGAGGTAAATACAGGCAGAAGACTAATATTATAAGGAGTTTGTTAGACAGCCAAATGACATGTCCCCAGTGTGTGTGGACAATAACAGGATTGGCCGTCTGTTTTAATGAACCTCCAGTTCTTACACACCAGCCACAAGCATCAGGACTGATGTGCCTTATATTGGAGGACCAGTGTCGCAACTTACTGTGCAGCTATTTAAATGCTGATGGCATTTTGCTTAAGACTTCTGCACTTATATTGTGTCACGCATGTACACAGCAAGTATACAGTCTATTAATAATCTTTACCGTATTCAACAAAATAGTTTCTCCAACTGTATACAGCTGCACTTAAAAAAACTGCTGGAATTATCTCAACTGACTACAACCAATTGATACTAAGAGTCTTCTTTCATTCGCATAAAATAAATTATCTATATCTGCAATGCTATCTCTAGTATAAATTTCACTGTCTTTTGTAATTCACTAAAGGGCCTGTAAAGTTTGACTTCCACAAGTGTCTCTTTTGGCCAGAAGTTTTGCCTGGAAGATACTATGAGTATTGCGGACTCTGAGCCTCCCTCAAGGACAGAAAGATATGTAAGTATATTTTACCCTTAACTTGTAAGGAAAGAATATAAAATACATATTGTCATGTTTAAAAAGAAATGTGGTCACCCAACTAAAGAAATCTATAGAAATATCGCATCAAAGTCATACTGGTTTGCTTGTTCAAAATGAATTTTTTTTTTTGTCAACTAAAGAAATATCACATCACACAATAGCTTGCTTGTTGAAAAAAAGGTGTGGTCAACCGACTAAAGAAATTTATAGAAATATCACATCACAAAGTCACACTGGTTTCCTAAGTTATAGTGATGGTGAACATATTTATGCCTTTCAACTGACAGCAGCCTCCTGTAATTTATACTTCAATCCAACCCAAAACTGCTAAGACGAGAAGTATAAACGCACTGTGCTTGTGTGACCATAAGAGAAGATTTCAGCAGCAGTCTTTGCTCAATAAAACAAAACACAGACTGCATGTTTGCATTGAATATCAGAACTTCATCTTTTCTTATACAGTTCATGGTGGAGAGACACTGAGATTTTTGGGTTTTCTTGATTTTAACTGTAAATTTGCCTAATTCATTTAATGTGCTGATGAGGGCTTTCTAGCCATATCGCTCACTTGTCGTAAATGATGTGATAATGTGAATCTGACCAGGTCTACCTTTCATGTGGTCTGATATTTTTTCATGATAACTGCATAAAACATACAAGCACCTTAAAAATAACTAACAGACATCAAGAATTTTTTTTTCAGTAGAACATCTGGGAGGAGGGCGAGAGGAAGACCAAGAAAGAGAAGGATAAATTGTGCAGCTGAAACCTGCAAAAAGATAAATCTATCACCCAAGCCATAGATAGAAAATCATGACAAGGTCTAGTGAGATGATAAAAGATCGACAACATCAAGAAAAACAGCATCAACTGTCTGTAAGCAAACTACATTCATTCTCATATCTAAAAAAGTTAAAGACAAAACAACAACAAACAAAACACTACCCCACCTGTTTATTGAACTGAGTGATGCCCAGGCAAGGAAAGATCCATGTGCAAGATGCAGGCAAGATTTCATTGTCACTGAAACTGATCCACTGTTGAATCAGAGCGGCATCCTTGCTGTTGGCACCGTGCAGCTGTGAGTTGGACACTAAAAAAAGAAAGGTCAACAGTATGTTAATTTACAGAATTACAGCTGCAAAAAAAAAAAAAAAAAAGGCCACTGTTATCTGTATTATAACTTTTGTTGTGTAGGCAAAAGGAAAAGATGGATGTAGTGTCTTTGAGACAGGGGATTTACAGCCACACGGCTAGAGCAGTTCCCAAAATGCAAGTTAGGATTCTGTTTTTGTGTGATGTCCTGCAAATAACTGCTGAATCTCAGTTGTATGCTGAACGTCTCACTCATCACAGGCGGCTCTTTTTGAAACCAGCAGGAAATGGTTGAAAGACCTGCGACTTATATGACTTATTCAAAACTAAGTGTCTGCATGTTAGGCTGCTCTTGTAGCAGGTCTCCATGTAAAATGAGTTCTGCATTTACACTGTCCACAAATATACAAAGCAAGCATACAAATCAATATTCATCAGCAGACCCAACAACAGCTTCTCTATGATTTTACCATAAATTCATGTGACATTTTCCACAAAGATGCCTTGGGAGGTTTCAGTGTGTAGTATATGGACAACAGTCTTGTATTTTAGAAAACACACGCAAGGCAAAGCTCTCTCTCTCGTGCTTCCTAAACTGATAAGTATGGTCTTTGTTAGCAGACATCTGAACTTTTCTCAAACTGTCCAATATGAAAGTATTCTAGCAACATTAGCAACAGTCTCAGACCACTACCACTGAGATAACTTACCATAATAAGCAATGGCATTGCTTTCTGAAAGTACAAAGCCATCTTTGCCTTCAAAGGCAGGGACCTGTTAAAAATAGATTTGAATTAAAATGAATTCATGGAAAAAACTATAAAAATGTCTTGAAAAATATGAAATCATAAACAGAACTATGCATTCTTTTAACAATATCACAACATTGAAATCAGAGAAAAAGGAAAGGCAGAGACAGTCTAAGAGAGGATTCTAGCTTGGCATTATCGTGTAGAATATTTGGCTATCTTCCGAATAAGGGTCCCAAATTATCGAGGTCAAAAATATACCCTAACAGGGCCTCAGTCACATGTCAATTTCAAACGTCCGGGGACTATACCACCACAGCCGAATTGCGTACTTCTGGCGACTTCCGCCACCGCCGAGAGTATCTTCCACGGCATGAATTGGGGCTAAACTAGATGGCTGGGACTCATGAGCAAAAAAAAATGAAGAAAGCTGCAGGAGATGCAATAGCTGCTGCTTGTGAGTCCCAGCCATCTAGTTTAGCCCCAATCCGCGCTGCGTGAGTGGCGTGGGGGATAATCTCAGCAGTGGCTGAAGTCGCAGGAAGTTTGCAATTCAAGTCGCCGGAAGTCCGCAACTGACACATGACTGAGGCCTTGTTAGGGTATTTTTTCGGCCTTGAAAATTTGAGACCATTATTCAGAGGATAGCCGAATATTTAATGTGTAACAGAGTTATTAGGTCATAGCTTATTTGTTAGTAGGCACAAAGTTCTGATGTACTGAAAATCAACAAGTTTTGGCAGCCTTGACATTCCCTTTTCCATAATCTTCTTTTCCTGACAAAACAAGCTATTGACATCAAACTGAGGTTGTCTGGCCTTGGCCTTCTTTCTAGAAGTTTTGAAATGCGTTTTTCATCATGTGACCCAACCTTGTCTCACTAGTAAATATTTTGTTGTCGTGCCCTATCAAAGCAAACACAATTGTCCTTGTTTTTTAGAAGCTTCTATGACCTCAATTGTCAGTTTACTTACTATATCTGCGTAGAATAGCATGATGAAATCTGATGCAATCAAGATAGAGCAGTCGTTCATATGTAACCTCGAAGACAGTCACTGGAGAGCAGACATGAAACAAGACATCGAGCTACAGAGACGACACACAAGATACATGGATCCCTGAAGAACAGAGATACATTAATTAGGAACACTATAGAGATGTTAGAGTCGACGATCAAGCCGTTAGTACCAAACAGCACTAGAAGCCAGGTGGCAGTTACAGACACTAGAATCAGTTAAAGTAACTAGAGATGAACACAACGCGAACCTACGAGTATTTGGCCATAGAGAGAACACAGCGCTATTCAGAATATCATTGATATTGTTTGTGACATTGTTAAAGTATCACAATAAAGACAGTATAGACAAGAACAGTTGTTTCCAGACACATTATAGAAGCATCAGAGCCACGTGAGAAGCATGCAGCTAGCAAGACATCATTATCATCATAACCACTAACGACACGACCCTCTTTCTCCTCGTCTATAATCTTCCAATTGACTCCTCCTGTAGCAAACCTAAAGACGAACCTGGGTGTGACATCAACATACGCAACGAAGAAGAGAGCTGTGCTACAAATGTTGACTTTGTCAACTTTATATTAGAAAAGATCTAACAGTACGTGAGTACAATCACAGAAAGGATGGATATGACTAGAACACCAACCACCACAGCATCAATTATATGAAGATTCCATTCATTATTTATCAATCAAAATCATAAATGAAGAACTGAGAAAGCAAACAAAAAACATTCACTAGCAAACATCAAAAGAAGAAGATGGAGATTGCTTGCACATGCTGACACTTTGAGAAGGACTGCACTCCCTCAGATAGAAAAAGATGAGCATGACCTAAGAAAACAAAAAAGCCACAGAAGAAAGGGAAATAAAGGATTTACAATAACATGGAATAACAATAAGTAGAAAACAGCAGACCGACCACACCAACGGAGATAACATGTGAATGCCTTACGTATTAACAGCGACAGGAAGAAGTTATAGATT